TCATGCTACGCCCGCGGAGGCTGGAATACGCTCACAGAATATTCCAATCACATGTTTGATTTTGGTCGTATTTCAGTAATATTTAGGTAATATTATTGTAACATTATTCTTATATTGCACATTTTTATGGTGACGAATGTTTACAAGCTTTATCTTAAAGATATATTGATTGTGGTCGTATTTTGACAATATTTCTGTATTATTACGGTAATATTACGAGTATATGACACATTTCTATGATAACATCCATACCACAATAATACTAGGAGAATACCATCATTAACACCGCGGAAATTACATTATTACCACAATAACAAATAATACATTAATTTAGATAAATCATTGAATACACACTCTAGGTAAATCAAACTTAAAGAACTCGTTGCAGTTCTTGGTATTTCACATATTATCATGTAGGTCCATCAATAAGATCGTATGTGTTTGTGGGTAGTGATGTAGACCGTTCCTGCTGATTTTGAATAATTACAAGTGAACGTAAGTAAATAAGTTTAATCAAAATTAATGCACATCAAAAACTGTTTCGAATTTTAAGTTATGTACCTGACTATAGCGTTTGATATTGCAAACAAGTTTGGATTGCATGGGTGAAATGTATCTTAACTTGAACCGATTTTTTTCTTCTTTCCTGTAATATAATGTTCAATGTTATGGAGTTGTAATGCAGTATGCATGAACATACGTTTATTAGTATAAGTAAAACTTACTTTTTACTCTTCTTTCTCCAAATAGCTTTTTAACCTTGCATTAGATATTCTTTTTAGCCGCATCTTCATTGGGTAGTTTAAATTGTGTTGTCTTCGGTGTCCTTTTTGTATTTGACTTTGGCTTTTTTTCGATGGTCTCTCCCATTCAATATGACGTCAGATTCGATTGTTAGTTTCTTTAATGTCTCCAGCACATGTTTCTCAGCAAGTTCATTACTCTGCTTTGTACTGATTCGGTATGCAAATTTATGAACGTATGTGCGATATATGAGTCAACTTGAAGAACTTCATAATGTTTGTGAATCTTTGAGATATTTATACCCATAGTTGTTATATATATCTCTTTTTGCATAAATAGACCTCTGTAATAATATATATTTATCAGAGATCTTTATTATATTATTAAGGTTAAACACCCTTAGAGTTTAAGCACATAATAAACCCATTATTTCAAATTTTTTGCAACTGCATGTAATTTCAAAATTACTTTTGTCGACTTTAACAATCCAAGGTCTCTGTATTCTTATTATCTAAGTTTCTAATGTCAAATTCTGAATCCCTGGTGATAGAGTCCTCCACAGCAAGTTCACACAAACCATGCAGTAATTTTGCTTCAAATATTGAATATAACTTTCTCGTATAAACTAAAACAACCTGATTCAACACGGGCCTACTTTTTACTGCGGGAATAATTGCAGATTGTTCGCATTTAAAATCTTCGTCCTTCTCATTCTTTCGTCAAGATTTTCATGTCACTTTTAAGGCCCAAAAAACTTTCAGTGAGGGTGCTTGGAGACACCATGATAAATGTTATTCGTGGACTCACTTCTTTGAGTTGATAGGATTCCCATTCAAAATATTTCTTTATTGAAGGTCATTGACCACTTATGTCTGATATTGTATAAACTATTCAATCAAATATTCTCTTGTAGATTTTCTTGCTCAATCATTGTACTCATGTTTCTTCAAACTCCTTTTCGGAGTGAAATACCCATGCATTTATAAAAAAAATCATTGACTCTCTTACCTACCACACCAAATAGACTTTTAAGCATAATTTCTTGTAAATAAGTCATTGACATAATCTATCTGGTGTGCGGCAGACACTCTTCAATGACTCTGGTCATTGCTTGATCTTGGTCAGTGAATATTGTTATCTGATATTTATTATCTATTATCCATATAAATGATTTGAATAGTCACTTGAATGAGTCAACTATTTCATCTGACAAAAAGTTAACTCTAAATATAACATTCTGTCAGTGGTGGTTCACATCGACAATAGGAGCACAACGTAAATTGTATTTATTCAATTTATAACTTGTATCAAATATTATGACATCCCCAAAGCAATCGTAATCAAGCCTTAATATCTCATCACTCCAAAAGAAATTTAACAAACTACCAGACTCATCAATTTGGACGTTCCCCGCAAACATCATATCATAAGCTTGCCTCTCGGTGAACAATTGTAGTGGAGAATTAGTGTCCTCATGTTCAATTTGAACTCTTCTTTCTCTTTGTAATGAAAAAAAACTCTTAAATCTTAAACCGGAATGAGACCAAATAGTTTTTTTTATTTCAATTTGGCGTGGTTCAAAATGACAAAAAAGTACTTAATGCGATTTGGCGGGATTCAAAAATGATAAAAGACACTTTTTGGATGTTTGGGCGGGACTCGAGTCGGGTCGCGCTGTAAAAAAAAAATTTCTTTTCATTATTTTAGTGTTGGGCTCACAATTCTACATGTCAGTTTTTAATTGGAGACTGCACAGAAGTCTGCATGCGGTTTTTGGACTGAATAATTTTTCTTCACATGCACATTAGGTTTTTAAAGTATTTGTTTATACTTGAAGACCATGAACTATTGATAATTTTTCTTCTCATTTTTTTTATCCGGCTATTTTTCCACCTCAAATTTTTGATATTATTTAATTGAGTATAAATAAACTTTTAAATAATCACCAACTTTATGGTCACAAACTTCTTCTAATCTAACCTGTAACTTCTTGGTTTAATAAAATTTAGTATTAACATTTAATATATACCTTTAACCTACTAATTATTCTAAAAAAATTAATAAAATCCTATTCACAATTTTGTTTTCTTTATCCTTCTGTCAAAGTCAACAATTCTGGTCTACGTGTGCGTTTGGGACGGTGTCCGGGTCGCGGCGCGACGACTGGCCGAGATTTGCTGTCGTTTGGGATGACTTCTAGGCTGCGATGTCTCGCCATTTTCGTTAAACCCTGTTCGAGGATTGGCTTTTTACGAATCTTACCCCTCTTCCATTCGATCCCAGTGTTCGACCCCTCTGTTCGACTCCAACTCCCTTGTCACTCCTTATTTTGAGAAATTAGGGACGAGCGAAGAAAAGAATGGCCCGAACAGGCTTACCTTCATCAATGGTTTCTGGTAGGAGCGGAGTAGAAGGATGAGAGGTGAGAGTTTCAATGATCTCTATACGTCGTTGACCCATCTTTGCCTTCTCAACTTGCTCTGATCGTCGACTGTATCGTGAGGGTTCGTTCACGAAGGTCATGGTTCTGTGCGAAACTGGGAGGGGGAGGGTTTTGGGTACTAAGAGAGGGTAAAATGGAGATGGGTTTATGGTTTTAATTTCTTTTATTAATTTAATTGATTAATAATTAATGACTAATTCATATATTTTTAAATTAATCATATTTTGAATATTTATATATTATTATTAATATTAATTAATCAATTTATAAACATATTTTTAAGATTTAAATTATATGATAAAAATACAAGCTTTCTTAATTAATAAAACTAATTAATTATTAATTAATGTTAATTTATTGCTTAATAAATAATTTATTTAATAAAAAAAATTATTTTATATTATGTTACAAACAATTTTACTACACAGGGGCAGGACTGTCATTTTTCTAAAAATAGCTGCACAAAACTGTTTTCAAACTATAATAAAAAAATCTACAGCCAGTTTTCCTGCAATAGTTTCTTGGGCAACTAAGCTGCAACTGCCCCAAAAAGAGACCCTAAGTCTTAAGGAGCAAAACTTAATTGATTCCTTGATATCTATCTAATACTCAAAATTAACCCAACCACAATAGGAAAAATTATTTTTATTAAAAGCAAATAGGTGGATACAATCAAACACACTTGAAAGGGAAATTATAACAAACACGACACAAACTCATACTAGCTTTATCCATGGGTGGTGGAGGTCAACTAGGTGGTTGGAGAGCGGAGGTAGTTATTGAAATGGGTTGTGTGTGGTTAGAATAGCAAAATGAAGGGCTGGAAGTGCGTGGCAACAAAGTGGATGACTCCCCAACACAGACATCCATGTGCACCACATCGCACCAAGCTTGATCTAGCAGTTGGATCCCAATCGAAAACTCAACGAGACACCTATTAATGCTGATCATGTTCCCCTTCAACCATGTTAGAGATTATTGTTGGGGTTGTCTCCGAGTCATAATGCTCAACTTGTATACCATCAGTGTTGACGCCACATTCTTGTTGTTTCCTCCATTGATAATGATGTTGCATACCATTCCCTTCATTGTGCAACGAGTGTAGAATGCTCTGTGTTTTGAACCTTTCATCTTGTGCTTTATTTGGCTCTTGTTTGTTTTCTAACTCACTGATATTGTAATTGCGGCTTGATGAGTTCCTTTTATTTTTTTTTTCTTTATTTATCTTCTTTACCATGTGCATTGGCAGTTGTGGGGGGTTTTTCACCTAGTACCATTTTTAGGAGGTTTGTACGCTCAAAATGGTGTTGTCAACAGATGGTGAAGAATTATTTACTTTTGTCAGAGTGTTGGTTCATTAATGTACAAGAGCTTGTGCTTGCTTATAGTTTGGCCATTTAAGATTTTATGGAAAAGGGCACACTTCAGAAAATTCCTTTATAATGTTGTTGAATTTTCTTATGGAGTCTAACCAGGAGGATTTTATGATTTGACTAACATGAGATTAGGCAGCAGTGGTATGGCATATATCATTATTTCAAAGGTTTTCAGAACATTGATATTTCATTTATTTCTATTTGAAACTGGACTCATTATATAACTAGTTGACAGAGTAATTATTGCCCCTTAACGAGGGTTGTTGAAATAAAATAGGTTGATTGATATGTTTCCCTTGCTTTTCTGACAGCTTAGATTTTAAATTTCCCAGAATATCTGTTCATGGAGAAATTCTTTTATTATGATTGTAACTGCTACATGCTTGATTGTAAGGTTTTGACTTTTTCAAACTAATTAATCATCTTTTTTTTTTCAGAGCCTAACCAAGGTGAGACTTAATAGTTACTCCCTGGTTAGTATTTCTTTTGTTGGTTGCCGAGCTATGCATGTGCTTGACCTTTCATGTCCAAATCTTTTGAAGATTAACCTTGATGGTTGTGATCATCTTGAAGAAGCATCCTTCTGCCCAGTAAGTGAAGTTCATTCAATATGTCGTTCTTGAATTTTTGTTGGTGATGTTATACAGCCTTGTTACCTACTTCGGATTTGGAATAATCCTATTTTGGCACAGTGATGTGTATACTTGCTATTTTTCCTGTAAGCTAAGGCTAGAAGACCCATACTTAGGCTTTCCTTGATCCTTATACATGTCGTTTTAAGTTTCATTTACAGGCTTTCTAACAGATGTATGGCCCATTCTTAGTTTGGGTTGGCACAAAATTTTAAAATCCATTAATTCAAACCTTATGTCTTCCAATGCATGTAAATGCCATCCCCACTTAAACCAGGGCAAGCCCTAATACTATTGTAAACTTGGCCAAGCACCCATGTTAACAATCTCTTCAATTAAAATCAATCCATTGATTAAAATCGCTCAAAGCAAAATTTTAACATGCCTATTTTATCTTTCTTCGACTCATTGATGATGACAATCATGCTATGCTTATGGGCTATTTTCAATCATATTTATTCATTTGATCTCAAGTGACCATGTTTTGTGCCTCTGAACTATTCAATCGAACCATAGTATGAAAAGCCCTGACGTGCCCAGAATGCATTTTTTGTGATCATTGCTATAGTACTGCGAACTCCCGTGAGCGAGGGCTGCATGGACTGGTCCAAGAGAGTTGGTCGACCAATCCTTTAAGGTGATTTCCTATCTATTGGGATTGCGGTCCACTTCTATTTACCCCAAGTCTATAAATATGTTGTTTTTTGTGTTTTAAAGTAGATTTTGGCTCATATTTTTTTTAGGACAGCCCCCAACATCCGTTTTCCCCTTCAAGGGTTGTATCCGATGGATTGAGTGGTACCCTGATTGTATCTTTCTCCCAAGATGGTGTTTACTTTCTATTTTTTTCTTCCGTATCCTTCCCACATTGTTCTCTCCTGTCGTCCCTGCTACAGCCGCCCAGAACAACAACCAACGCTATTCTTCTAACAGTTTCTGCATTCTAGCCCAAGTTCCTTGTGATTCCAGCACCCCTGCTTGCTGACATCCCTGTTCCAGCCACCTGCCTTCCATGATACTTGTTGTCTTCCTTCAAAATCAGCTGCCAGTCCTCCGTCTTATTGTTTCCAACAACTCACAGCCTTCCAGCTGCCCATACTCGCTTCTATCACCACTCTAGCCCCTCCCTCCTCACCGACCTCACCGTCCCAGCCCTCCACTTTCACTGTCACAGTTGCAACACATTCTCATTGTTGTTTTACTAGAGTCCCTCATCCACAGTTAGAAAACCCTTTCCCTACCTTGCCGCCACCTTTCCAAGCTCCCCTCCCCCCAACCATCATCACCATCACCCAGGATCTGCCATAACGTGAGTTTGTGTCGTGTGTGTTGTATTTTCCCTTTAAATTGTGTTTGATTGTAACTGCCTATTTGCTTTCAATAATAATATATGTTTTTTCTTTTTTTATTTAGGTTAGCTCCAATATCATTTGGTATCAGAGCTAGTCTAACCTTAGTTCTATCGTAAAATTTTTAGCATCCCTAAATTTTTTTCTTTCACTCTACATCACCCTTACACACCTCCTTCCAACTACCTACACCCAAAGTCTAGTCATGCCTAAGGATATAATCGTCGGAAGCTTGATCGGGGGGGAATAACACGATGTCATTTATAAGAAATTCACAAAGAGATATCCAGTGAATTTGTAGGGAGAATATGCTGTGGGAAACCTGTCAACTACGGGCTTTCCACCTTCGAGATGAGGCAATCTGAATGGGTTACCCGTAGCCACAATAGTGACTTGCTAGATCGAAGGGGTGGAGTGAACCATCATGTGGATTCCTCAGATGAAGAACCTTTTCCTCAAATGTGTGACCTAGAATATCCGAGAAGTCAAGCTTTAAAGTAAATGTGGATTTGTCATATTTCAAATGACACATGGATCAGAACGAGTTTGTTGAGTGGCTTTGAACCTTGAAATGTGTCTTTGAGTGTCAGGATGCCCCACAAGACATGATGGTAAAACTAGCTGCCAACAAGTTAAAGAAGAATGCATTATTTTGGTGAAAAATTTTAAAGCACATACACCAATGTATATACATGATCACTACATTGTCCAAAATGAAGCAATAGATGCAACGTCAGTATCTACCAGCTAACTATAGACCGGAGATTCAAACCCCAGCTTCAAAAGTGGAAACCTCATCACTGGGTGACCCACATATATTACAGGCAAGGTTCAATCCCAGAATCTTACAGCCATAGAACACTTAAGAGAACATCCAAGTCGAACCCGATTGAAGAGGCACTAGGTTAGAGTGGAGAACAACCAATTCACAGTCCCAAATCCATTTTAGCTGGAAGTGTTTCAAGTGTCATAGATTTGGGCATAACGAATAAAATTGCATAACCAAGAGAATGATCACTTGCACAAATCAGGAAGCAACTAAAGAGATAAATAATATTCCAGGAGAAGATGAAGATTTTAGAAAGGCTTCCAACTTCCAGCTGACGAGGAAGAGACGCCAGCCATTCCGGTTGAACCCAGGAGAGAGACTCCAGCTGAGTTGATAATAGCTATTCTAGAAGGTAGTATGTCTGAGGTAATGAGCGTTCATACACAGTATTAGGTTGTTGTGTCTCGAATTACATTTTTGCAGGCGTTCGGAGGAGCATCAACTGGGTTGACGTTGGTTGTCCGAGAGGGCCATGAGCTTGAGGAGTCGATATTATACACGGGGCAACTTTAGATAAAAGGATCTCAAACATTTAAGTTATATAGTCTGATTCCTAAGTTGTCCCTATTGATGGAAGTTCAACTTGTCAGAGATGAGAAGATTTTTAGTTACTTATGGAAGACAATAGGGAGTCATTTAAGTTTTAAAATTGGTTTAGTAGTGTACCCCGTGAAAGAGGTCATACAGGATGGATGAACTGCAGTGTTGGGGATCTCTTCGGGATCTTTATGGGAAAGAAAATCTTACAGTGGGATCTTTCCTACCAAAGAAGAAGTTTCTCTTGAGTTGTTGCTAATGAGAGTGGCTCGGCCTACTGTAGATTTCATTCTATTGTTGATTTCTCCTTTCATATTTTTTTTTTATCAGATACATCCATCAAAATATGACGATTGGGATAAGTTGATTATAGATTTACTTGTTTGGGATCGAACTCGTGAGAATCTGTTGTTCTGCAGCTCCAGCTCAAGTTGTAACAAAAGTGGTTATATTTATTCTATTATAATGTGTTTTGGAATAATAACGCCTACGTGATTAATTTATCGGGAGCTTGCAACATTTGCACTATCTTCAACAAAACCAACCACACTACCATGAGGAGATAAATGCTTCAACTGATGAGATCGAAACTCCCCCAATCATAGGAGACTGATGCGGAAGCGACCCAGGAGGCATTTTTTTTCTATCATTGCTATAGTACCACAACAATATTGCAAGTTCGTGTGAGCAAGGGCGGCGTGGATCAACCCAGGAAGGTCGGTCAACCATTCCTTTAAGTGGATTGCCTTCTTATTGGGATTGAGGTCCACTCATATTCACTCTTAGTCTATAAATATGTCATTTTTTTTATTTCCAAGTAGTTTTTTACTTAGATTATGTCAGGACAGTTGCATGCGTCCGTTTTCCTCTTCGAGGGTTGTATCTAAGGAATCGGGTGGTGCTTTGGTTGTATCCCTCTCCTGAGGTGGTGTTTATTTTCCCTTTTCTGCTTTCGTATCCTCCCCACACTTCTCTCACCTTTTGCTCCTTGTTGTAGCTTCCTAGAACAGTTGACGAAATTGTTCATATGGTTTCTTCATTCTGGCAAAAGTTTTCTGTGACTTTAGTGCTTTTGTTTGCTGTCATCGCTTTTCTAGCCACCAACCTTCCACAATACCTGTTGTCCTTTGTCTTAATCAGTCGCCAACCCTTCCTCTTCATGTTTCTGACAGCGCACAACTGACCAATTGCTCTGTACTCGCTTCAATGGCCATTCCAGCCCTCCAGCTTCACTGCCCTCGTTGTCCAGCCCTCCACCACTGTTGCCTGCCGCAGTGGCAACGTCTTCCTCTGATGTTTTCCTACTGTTTAGCCTCCCCAAACAGCAAACTGCTGCTGTTTGGACAGTCATCACCTTATTGTTCTAGTGTTCTAACCGCCCATAATCACTGCCATTCCTCATCCCTATTTTGCTGCCTTCTCTTCGAAGCGTGATCCGCTCTAATGTAAGTTTGCGTGTTGTATTTTTCTTTTCAATTATGTTTGATTCTAACTGCCTATTTGGTTTTTCTTTTATTGTTTGGGTTAACTCCGATATCAAGCCCTTACCAAAAAAATGTGTTAACTTCATTCTGAAAGCACATCTTTAACTCATTTTATTTGGATTTGCTTGAGATACTTTGAGGGATGGTTCTATCTCCATCCCGCCAAATATCTAGATCGATTTGATTCTAAAGATACATATTAAATCCAAGCCCAAAACTGAACCCAAATACTCCATAATCGAGAGTGCTCTCCCACAAACGAGGGAGTTGATGAAAGCAGATGTTTTGATCTGCCCTACCAAAGCAAATGTTTTTTTCCTTTATAGGCTGTTTGATTGCATAAATGATTTTTTAAGGTCATAGATAAGTCAGTAGTTTACTTTTGAAGTAGTTTTGACCCGTTTTTAACCTTTTAATAATCAGCATTTATTCAATTATTTTCTCAGATTGAAGTTTTCAGCTTCCTTTTTTTTGTGGCGTTCTGTTTCATATTTATTCTTTTTGTAATTAAAGCATCTGCTCACCATTAATTGCTTTTTTCCAACCTAGATTTTACAGGATTTTATTCTTTTATGCCTAGTAGCACTTTTTTATGTAACTCTAGTGGTAATTGCATGCTCTCTCTTGTTTTTATTTTTTTAATCCTGACATATGATCGCTAAAAGTTGTAATTATTGAAAATTAAACTTGATTTTATTCATTGAGCCTTTTAATTGAGCCCATAATCTGAAAAGGTCTTTAGAAAATTCGAAGAGTCTCATGTTATAAAGAATATTTTGGAGGATTCTATAGATACATTTTAAAGGAGTGATTTAGAGAATTTTATGATATGTAATTAATGACTTCTTAACGGAAAAGGAGAATACTCTAGGGAGTCAATAGTAGTCGTTGGTTTGAAATATGTTGGCACAATCCTAATGGGGTTGTCAATAATATGAATAGGCATAATGTGTTTGCATTAGTGAGTTTTTTAAGTGTTATCTTTTTAGCATTCCTCTTTTTACAATAGCCTCTTATTTCAACAAAATGATATTAGAGCCAAAGTTCCTTTCTAGAGAGATGACGAGCAATGGTATGATCCCCTTTCAAGCCCCTACACTCAACAATAGCAACTATGACAATATGAGCATCAAGATTAATTGGACAACAAACTCAAAAAAATCTAAGAAAGAACTTGTTCAATGTTAAGAAAACAAGTCTTGGTTGTTCGGTTTGAAAGAGCAAACAAGAAAGCAAGACTTCCTCAAGTATCATGCAAGTGACTCTTCAAGCTTTCCTATTTCTCTCTCCGACCTTTCTTGGAGCGCAAGATTTATGAGAGATGGTAGAAAATAGCTACAATCAACCACAGGACGAGTCAAGTTTATCCCAAACTCAAAAGGATAGTCTAAGAGATTCAAGGAAGAGAGACAAGAAGGCTCTCTATCTTTCAAGGATTTGATAATGACGCTTTTGAGAAGATTTCTGATGCGAAGTTTGCCAAAGAGGCAATAGAGAAGCTTTGGACATCTTATAAAGTAGCGGAGCAAGTCAAGAAGGCGAGTCTCCAAACATTAAGAGGTGAGTTTGAAGCCTTATATATGAAAGAAGCCGATGCCGTCTCTGACCACTTGACTAGAGTCTTAGCAATTTCCAATCAATTAAAAAAAATGGGGAGAAACTAGAAGTTGTAAGGGTCGCCATCATTGAAGAAACCAAAGACTTGGAGTCTATGACAATCAAGCAGCTCCTGGGTTCTTTACAAGCGTATGAAGAAAAGAAAAAGAAGGAAGGAATCACATAACAACTTTTGAAGACACAAATTAATTTAACTAAAAAAGAGCCTTGAGTATTATAGAAGTCAACAAGGACAAGGCAGTGGTCGAGGACAAGGCCGTGGTCATGGTTGTGGACCAGGTAAGAGCTCCAATAATGACAACAACAACAATGCCAATTTTGGACGAGGATAAGGTTCAACAAGAGGGCGTGGAAGAGGAAAATCAAAATCAAGGTATGACAGATCTGAAGTGATGTGTTACAACTGCCAACAATTTGGTCACTATGTTGCAGAATGTAGAACTCTTAATAACAATAAAATTGAAGAGAAGCCTAATTATGTGGAAGAGAAAGTCAGTAAGTTGACACTTTGCTTCTGGCATATAAGGAGAACAAAAAGGGTGAAGATAACACATGGTATCTGAACACTGGTGCAAGAAACCATGTGTGGAAGAAAAGCTTGTTGGTGGACTTTGACGAGTCAGTGAGCGACATTGTATCCTTTGGAGATGAGTCCAAGATAGTTGTGAAGGGAAGAGGTAAAATCCTTATCCGATTGAAAAATGGAAAGCACCAATTAATCTTTAATGTCTAATATGTGCCAAATATGAAGAGTAATATTCTGAGTGTGGGTCAGCTCTTAGAGAAAGGTTATGATATTCATCTGAAAGATAAGAACCTTTTTACAAGAGGCAATATGAGCAACCTAATTGTGAAGATACTAATGTCAAGAAATAGAATGTTCTTGCTCAATATTCAAAATGATATTGTAAAGTATCTCAAAGCCTGCTACAAAGATCCATCTTGGCTTTGGCATCTTTGACTTGAGTATCTTAGCTTTGGAGGACTAGAGCTATTATCAAAGAAGAAAATGGTGAGAGGTCAGCCCCGCATCAGTCACCCAGACCAAATATGTGAAAGCTGCTTGCTCGGGAAGCAATTTAGGAAGAGATTTTCAAAGGAGTCAAATTCGAGAGCACAAAAGCCACTTCAACTCCTACATACGGATGTATGCGGTCTAATCAAGCCAAACTCTTTTGGTAAGAGTAATTATTTCCTTCTCTTTATAGATGATTTTTCAAGAAAAACTTGGGTATATTTTTTGAAGAAAAAATTAGAGGGCTTTGAAGTATTTAAAGAAGTTTAAAGCCTTGGTGGAGAAAAAAGCGGTCTCGAGATCAATGTTATGCGATTTGATTGAGGAGGGGAGTTTACTTCAAATGAATTTCGAGATTTTTGTGAAGCCAATGGAATACGTTGACCATTGATCGTCCCAAGATCTCCTCAACAAAATGATGTAACAGAAAGGAAGAATCAAACTATCCTTGATGTTGCTCAAAGTATGTCCAGAGTAAGAGGTTGCCTAAATATTTTGAGCCGAAGTTGTTGTATGCACGATTGACCTGTCTAATCGATCTTCAATAATAAGTGTGTATGTAGGGAATGACACCGCAAGAAGCATGGAGTTGAAGGAAGCCCAACATCTCCCATTTAAGAGTATTTGGAGGCACTTTCAAAATGGCACTAAGTAACTAACGTGAAGCGGGTGTACAAAATAAAGAAGAATGTGCAAGAAGAAACCAAGAAGTAAAGTAAGATTGCTAGCAAAAGGCTATAACTAAGAAGTTGTCATTTACCGTGATCAAAGTAAGCATATTGACACACGCTATCACTTCATTAAAGACTGCATCGTAAGAAATGATGTGCAAATTGATTATGTGAAGATTCATGATCAAATATCTGATATATTCACCAAGCCGTTTAAGTGTGAAGATTGCCCAGGATAACAAATCAAGTTTAAGAGGGTGTGTTGAAAATTACTTGATTTAATTAATTTAGTCTTTTAATTGAGCCCATGACCTAGAAAAGTTTTTAGAAAATTCTAAAGTCTCATTTTATATAATGTTTTAGAGGATTCCAGAGATACATTTTAAAGGAGTGTCTAAGAGAATTCTAGAATATGTATTTAATGACTTTTGGAACGTAAAAAAAGAGAATACTCTAGAGAGCCAATAGTAGCCATTGGATTGAAATGTGTTGGCACAATTCTAATGGGGTTGTCACTAGTATAAATTGGTGTAGTGTGTTTGTGTTTTGTATCAAGTAGAATCAAAAAGTGTAAGAGAAATAAAAATGAGTTTTTTAAGTATTCCTCCTCTTTTTAGCATTCCTCTTCTTACAAGAATCTTTTATTTCCAACAGTAATACTCCATTGTTGCGTGAAAATTTAAATTGGTCTTTTGAAGTTGGTAAAGGAGAACCTTTCTAATGAGCTCGCGGATGCATCCATGCCTCAACCTATATTCTTAACCAACCCCTGGCAATTCATCGAATAATTTATTCACCTTGGCCTGTTTTGCAGCTATCATCAGCTCATTATATTCTTAACCCCCTGGCAATTCATCGAATAATTTATTCACCTTGGCCTGTTTTGCAGCTATCATCAGCTCATTTACGGTGTATATCTGATAAAAACATACATCAATATCTGGCTTCTGATACTTGATTGATTCGTCCATTTTATACCCTTTGTAATTAATTATCATACACTTCAATTTTATTCTGTACATTTCTGAAGCCCTTCCTATCCATTTCTCCAACCTGCCCGTACTTAGATTTTTAGTTAACTTATATATTGTGTATTTTGATATCTTCCATTTTTTTTCAATGTCCGTCCATTTTATTTGAAAATTTAGTGAATTATGGTTCTTGTAAAACATGAGCTACATTTTCTGAAGCTTGAGTAACGTAGTGAAGTCTTGTTGTTGCAATGATTTATGTTTCTTTTGGATGGCCTTTTTTACTTTTATAACTAAGGAATTTTCGCAGGTTGGTTTAGAATATTTAAATTTGGGAATTTGTCCAAAATTAATCGCTCTACAAATTGAGGCACCAAAAATGTCACTATTGGAATTGAAGGGTTGTGGCATGCTATCTCTGGCGTCCGTTAGTTGTCCAAATCTTACATGCTTGGATGCTTCTTTCTGCAGGTGCGATCTTTTACATACATACATACATACATATATATACATACATACATGTACATACATACGTATACATATATATATATATATATATTCTTCATTAATAGAAATCAGTATTTGGCAGAGGCCCAAATACTGATTTCCCTTGCGCTAGGCTCTATGATGAGAACCCACTGATTTCCCTTGCGCTAGGCTCTATGATGAGAACCCGCGCCATGTGCCTAAATATTCATGAACCCAGCGCCACGGCTTGCGGCGCGCGCGCGCGCACACACACACACACCCACACACATATATATATATATATCTTTATTTTGGGGCATTTACATACATAGCATACAATTCTAATTTTTTACATATCTCATAACTAAACTTTCATATTTACGCACGAAGTACTCGGATCTTGAATATCCTTTCAAAGTAGGACTATTACTTCTTTTTAAAAGTGAAATACACCTTTTCATGCATAGGTTTAAAGCATCAATGTGCCATGTATGTAAATTTGAATGTTTGGGTGTGAGATTTATAAATACATAAGAATTGTGTGCTAAGTATGTAAAATTCCCTTGTTTACATGAATAGGTGCTAAATGAGCTGTTAGACCTTATGCAGGCAATTTACGGATGACTCGTTATCCAGTACAGCAGCTTCATGCTCTAGGATTGAATCTCTTATACTGTCATCATGCTTGTCTATAGCATTTGATGGGCTTTCTTCATTGCACTGGCTTCAATGTCTTACCCACCTTGATTTGTCATACACATTTTTGATGAATTTGCAGCCTGTTTTTGATAGTTGTTGTCAGCTAGTGGTGAGTTTTAATCTTTTAATTGGATAATTTTATAATGTTTTGTGAATAAATAAGCTTGTATTTCACTCAACACAACTATTTTCTAGCTCATATAATTTTATATGCAATTTAATCCTTGAAAGTAGATTTTATGATCTAAAATCGTTTCAAAATTAAGCATGATAATAGAATTTCCTGTTAATTTTGGCTGTAAGGTTTTCCGTTTAGGTCTAAAATCTTGTTAGCTTTTCAATTAAAAACAAAAACTATATCCGACTTTATTCTACTTACAAGGTTTTCCTACTTACCAAACTTTATTTACAATGCTTTACTGGTTTGTTTGGGGTCTGACAACTCAGATTTCATGATGTGGCCCGGGAGCTTGGAGTTAATTAAGGTAGGAACAAATGGTCAGATGGTGTTAGTTAATTTTTTTAAAAGTAATAGTAGTCAACAATATTATTCAACTAGAAAAGAGTCACTAATTCATAATATATAAGTAATTATCATTTAACAATCCATATAAAATCATTCATATGAGCTCCTCTTCCCTTTCCTTTCTATTTCCTCACGATACCAGAGCCCCTTCTCCACTATCTTTCCATTTCCTCACCCTAACCACATTCATCTCTCTCCTTTCACCTTACCAAGCACTCGTTACTCTCACTCCCTCCTCTCGCCATACCCGAGCACTCACCCCATTCTCCTCACCATTCTTACCCTACCCAAAATTCCCGAAACATACCCATCACCACCTCCCTCTCCTCTCACTAAACTGAACACTCAACTCAGCATACTCTCCACACATTCGCCCTTCCTAAGCCTAAACTGAAACTCAATAACCCACACTCTACTCCTCCTCCTTAAACCTTAACTTGAAATCCACTAAACCATATCCTCTTTCTCTCCTATTTTTAACCCTAAGTTAAAGCTCCAAAACCAACGCCCTCTCTCCCTTTTCACCTAATACCCAAAAACCTTTAAAAATAAAAAGGAAAAGAAGAGAGAAATCTTCATGTGCCTTAGGTTTACCTTTCATAAAGTATGAGAATCAAGTGATAGCCTTATGTCATGTAAAACTTTACGTAATAGTCTTATGTCTCCAAAAAAATCACTTGTTAGCTCCATGTTTCATGCAAAACTTGATATGTTTTGGTTTATGTTTATAAGCCAAAATGCAAGATGAGTGGTGTATGTCCCCCATGCAAAATCATGTGATAACCTTACGCCTTCCAAATAAAATCATGTGGTAGACGGAGTCTTTTATGCGAGGTCAATCAATCATGTGGTAGTTTTATTCCTCTTGCATGCTACAAAATCTCCATGTGCTTAGGTGTTTGTTTTGTGTTAAGAAGAAATTCATGCATTAGTTCTATGTTTCAACAAATAACACAAAAAAAAAAAAAATCATGTGTTCGCCACAAAATTAAAAAAAAAAAAAAAAAACAAAATTCATGTTCAAGTCCTATGTTTCATACAAAACACACACACACACACACACACACACACACACAATCCCAAATTTCACATGTATGGTTCCATGCCTCATGCAAAATTTCACATGTATGGTTCCATGCATCATACAAAATTTTACATGCTTAGTTCTATGATCAGACTGAGACTACGAGAGAGCAGTAGTAGCTTTGTCACAACAGATTCTATATCCGTTGCACTATGAAGGAAAAGTTATGCAGTCTCATCATCGATGGAGATAACACCAAAATTGTGGCATCGATACGGATGATGGACAAATTAAGCCTCACAAATCAGAGGCTTTCTTAGTTATATTTCTTGATGTGGTCCAAGAAGAAGAATAGGTTCAACATTGATAGGAAATGCAACGTGGAGTTTTTTATTTGGAACCAACTACAGGATAAGGTGTTGTGTGACGTGGTGCCCATGGATGCATGACAATTCTATTAGGAAGAGTAGCCATTTGACTGCAGGACTCAACATGATTGGTACACGAACACCCACTCATTCATCAAAGATGGAAAGCTCATCATTCTCTTACCCTCTGCGAAATTTGAGGTTGCAGATACACTTGCCAGCGGAGAAGCGCCAGTTAGATCAATTTTGGTGATGATAGTGGATAACAGAACAGAGGAGCTGATTCCAAACAGAGGGCAGTAACTACAGAGAGCATTTTAGGACATCATGATCGATATCTTATCGTAAGGGTCACTACCATTAGAGGGAGTTCAATCTGTCCTCGTGTCACATAGGGATGAGCCAATCTTGGGCTACCTTTGGAAGACACTACAGAGTTTATGTAACGACTTGCCAGAGGCTTGGAATTAAACAAGATGGAAACAGACGGTCGGACGATGTGAATTAAATTTTCTATATTGATATATTATTTAACAGATGAAAGAGCCACAAATTGAAATAAATTAGAACTTTTTAAAAACCAAAGTAATTTAAGAGAAAAGAAAGAAACAAACCACAATAATACAAGAGAAAAGTAAAAACAAATGTATGTCAGTCAAGTTTTTATAAATCAATAGAAACATTTGTTTTCATTCAAAGAATCTTTCTATATCAATAACATATCAATTACATTCTATATATGTACAACCGTCGCAAAAGTATCATCTAAAAATTGTGTCAATTATGATACATCAATATCAATATCTTTTTCCATATATGTGCATGGGTACCTTAGTGTTCCTCTATCAATACCATCAAGGGGTGACTTCATTGTAGTCATACTAGCACATATAAACAATCAACATAAACATATTGTTCATGTATTCATAACATTCAATTCAACATACTATATAAAGTGTACACCAAATGCATGAGAATAAGTAGCTAGAACATTCATAACGATATGACCAATAAAGAAAAAAATCTCAATCAGAATAAAACATGTGTGAATACTATTAACTGCAAAATAGTTAAGAAGAAATAATTTATTGCTATAGATTAAAAGTATGGGTACTCATTTCGATGACAAATGATTTGTTCTTAAAATTTTCTTAACTTTGATCCTTTAAGAATTTAGGTGGTAGATATGTAATTACATAAGAATTGTTTGCCATGTAAAAGCCCCCTTAATTATTTACATAAAATATTACTATTATGTGGTTTTCTCTTTTATAGTTTAAATTTAAGGTTTTTCGAATCACCAACTGGTAACATTCCTGATGTATGGTTCTCTTGTTATTATTTTTACCATTTTTTTTTTAAATTCAACTGATTATTTTCCACAGGTTTTGAAACTTTCCGCATGCAAATACCTAAGGAACTCGTCTTTGGAAGCTCTCTACAATGAAGGTGCTCTTCCCGTCCTTCGTGAGTTGGATTTGTCTTATTCTTCCATTGGCCAGGCTGCTATTGTTGATCTTCTCGCATACTGTAGAAATTTAGTCAATGTAAATCTGAACGGATGCGTATTTATGCATGAGCTCTCATGGGGTTCGAGTGGATTTCAATCCGACGTCATGATGATTGGTCCCTCGTTATCAAATTCACTTCCTTTGGGACATGGTGACACGTCTCACAGTAATTCGGACCATCGTTTGGAGTTTCTCAACTGTACTGGATGTCCCTATCTTAAGAAAGTCGTAATACCACCAGCAGCTTGTTGCTTCAGGTTAACGAAGTTAAATCTGAACCTATCAACCAATCTGAAAGAAGTTGATCTAGCATGTCCAAACCTCATTAGTCTGAACTTGAGGTTAGGAAGGAAGACCCATCCTTTCCCCTTTTTTTTGTGGAAAGATTTACATATGTACCACCTAATTCTAATGTATTTACATATCTAGCACCCAAACTTCAATTTTTACATTTATAACACCCAACCTATGCATGAAATGTGTTTTTCACCTTATTAAAAGTTAAAATAGTGGTATTTTTTATGTGATATGAAAGATTTGGGTGGTCTAAATATAAAAAGTAAAGTTTGTGTTGGATATGTAAATTTATAGGAATTGGGTGGGGTATTTATGTAAATGCTCCCTTTTTTTCCCGAAGTTCTCTTCCATTCAATAATCTACTTGTCTTCTGCAAAATCTACTGTTGTCTAAGTTTTCTTTCTTTTGCACTATTCAGCAACTGTAGCTCACTCGAGATTTTGAAGCTGGATTGCCCGCGTTTAACCATTCTCCAACTTTGGGTAGGTCTCGGTCCCCTATACTCCTCTGTTTCTGTTGCATTGTAATTATACTGACTTCTTTTTATTTATATTAGTTTTTTTAGTGATTAATATGAAAGCTTAGAAGTACGGGGGTGATTACATGCATAGCATCCAAATATTAGCTATTTACAGATCTAAAATTCTCCTGCCTTCATTTTTCAAATTTTCGCTAAAATTCTATATTTTTTGCATTGAAGTTCCCACCAGTTAGGTTGTGGCGTGCATAAATACTCAAGTACGATACATAATTTTAGTGAAGGTTTAGTGTTATGTCTGTAATTGCACCTAAAAATATTTAGTATGGGGGCCATTAAATTTGTATTATTTTCTTTATATTAACTTTTTTAATGATTAATATGAACCCGTAAAGTACGGGGGCAATTATACACATAACATCCAACATATTATCTATAAACTGATCTAAAATTCTCCATTTTTCAAATTTTCATTTAAATATAGAAACCTACAACTAAACCTCAACCTATGTTTTTTTACTTTTATCTTACTCCCAATAGTTTGATTGTGGCAAGCATAAACATACAAATTCGATAGGTAAGGTTTGGATGTTTAGGTTTGTAATTGCACCCAAAATATTGTGACTTTTACATACATACTACCAAATTCCTATGAATTTAAATATCTAACATCTAAACTTCATTTTTACATCCATACCTCATATCTTACATATCACATAAAAAATACCATGATTTTAACTTTTAAACAGTGAAATATATCTCTTCATGCACAAGTAAGGTGGTATGCATGTAACGATGGAAGTTTAGGTGTAAAGATAATGGAGTGGTATGCATGTAAATCTTCAAAAAATATTAAGTAATTTTGGTAAACTTTCCTCTTCCCCCCTTTTTCCAGGCCTGTAGCATGCTTTCAGAAGCAGCAGTGGAAGCTGCTATATCAGGATGCTGCCGCTTGGAGATACTCAATGTTCACACCTTCACCAAGAGATTGCTCCATCGAATAACTGGAATTTAATAGCTCGCAAAGTTCTTCCCGTGAAAAAAGACGACGTTCGATCCAATTCAATTTTAAATTGACGTTTCTGTCCGAAGCTCCGTTTTATTTTTTATTTTTTAGCTCTTTATTTTGGATGTATATTTCCAGTCTCTAGCAAATCCAGAGCACCATATCAGTATAGTCTGCACCTCTTTCCTTCTTCTAGCTTTTAAGTTGTCCGATTATAATTAGTATATAATATTATATTTTGGTTGTCCGATTATAATTAGTATATAGGCCAGATTCTGATGTTTTGTGTAGTGATGTGTATAGGACTTAACTTTGTACTTATTTCTGTTGTTTAAGTTATATTTTGATTTGTTGCCACTGCTTCTGGTTTTCTTTATTGATGTATGTATATAACTAATGTGATTGGAGGAAAAATTATGTGGAGAGACTCCTCATAAATCTCTTTGATTGGCATTGCAGTGGTTTGTAAATTTGTTAAGAGGCATTTATTCATTAAAATCACCATTTGTCTGATAACAGTTCATGTAAATTTTGTTTTCATTTTTTCTACATGTTTTAGGTCTGTTTGGGCCTGTTGTAATTCTTTGTAAAAATAATTGTAGAGCCAGGACACTTGATACATCAGGTGTCCAATAATATGATCCCACGTGGTAACTTGGGCCCGAACACTGTATGTCAGTGGACCAAAATTGCCACGTGACCCCGTATTATTGGACACTTGATGTAAATTGCAATAATTTCTCATTTGTTAGGGTTATTTTTTATAAACATTATTTTTAGAAAGAATTTGGACGTCAACTTGCTTAAAATCAAAGTAAAGCAATGAAAAAGTTGCTGCAATTTATTTTTTTGGGTTATTATATTTTCATTATGTTATATTTTATTATTTACAATGATCATTAAAGAAGTCTGATTTTGATTTTTAGTTGTTTGACTTTTATTGATGAGAATGTGTAAGCAAGTTGACTATGATGGTGACTGGTTAAGTTTTTTCTTTTTAAAAAAGTATGTTTTAAAGCATCTCAGGAAAAATAACAATCTAAAGCTGCTATTGTTAAAAGTCAATGTAGCAGTGTAAACGACCGAACACGAGCGAGTCCAGTCTCAGCTTCTATTCAGACTCGCTCGTGTTCAGTTCTTTTATATTTTGAGCTCAAAAAGTGTTCGTAACGTTTGTTTAGCGAGTTAAACACGAGCTGTTCACGAACAAAGGTTCGTTTTGACAACCATAATCAAATTGACATAAATAAATTGTATCATTTGAATTTAATTTAATTTTTATTTTAATTTCTCAATTAATATTTTTAATTGATTAAATATTTTTGTAGTTTTGTACTTAATTAAATCTTTTAGAAATATTACTCACCAATGTATATATATATATATATATATATATATATATAATTGATGAATAGTGTTTCGAGCCAAAACATATCGAACACGAATGAACAAATCTTTGCCAGTATTCAACTGTTTAACTTAACGAATGAGCTAAACACGAACTATTTTGGCAGCCCTATGCCGATGCTATCTTTTGAATAATTCTTTCTTTTTTTATATTGATTTTCATTAAACGAAGGCCTTTGTTACATTTTCATTTATGATGCAAAACTGAGAAATTGTTGTGCAAGTGAAAAAGACTACGGAAAACAATAGATTAAAATAAAATTTTGTCTAATTTCTCTTAATAATTTAAATCAAAAAAATAAAAAACTTATATATAACATTCACTCAATCAATTATATAGAGAAAGAAAGTTACAACAAAAACTATAACTAAGAATCTCATAAACATTGAAGAAAATAGATGATGTGGATGAAGCTAAAACCTTTTAAATGATTGCTTCCAACTTCTTCAACACTGAGTCTATTTCTTCAGACTTGCTCTCCTCGGTTGGCAGATAAGAAACTCTGTATGCATCTGCAATGGCCTTTCCTTTCTCAAGAACTGAAGCTGGCACTGTTTGAAGGAGGCTGCAACAATAAATAAGAATATTTACATAAATACCACTCAATTCTTATTTTTTTTACATATCTAAGAGATAAATTTCAAATTATATAAATATATGCCGCCTTACAAATGCATGAAAAGATGTATTTTACTTTTTGTTTTTTTAAGCTAAAATAGCGGTATCATTGTTGTTATATGAAGGATTTGGTTTGTTGGTATGAATGTAAAAAAAAATAAAGTTTGGGTGTAGGGCATGTAAATTCATAGGATTTCGATGGTATGAATGTAAATGCCCTGAATAAATAATAACCCATTTCTTAGGAAAATGAAACGGGACGATAAATTTGCATCCGGTGTCCAATTTAAAATGACTGCTTGCATGGTGGGTCCCACTCTTTTCCAAAAAAAAAATGATGAAAAAATTGTGTATTTCAATGGGCCCATATTTGCAGGCAAACAATTTTAATTAGACACCGGACGCAAATTTGCATCTGGTGTCCTGACGCAATAATAACCCATTTCTTAGAGCTTGTTTGGAAGAGTGTCGCCTTAAACGGGGTGTTCACGAATGGAGCCCTGCAACTCGCATTTCAAAACGACAAAAAAAGCCACGTTTTTTGTGGAGTAGCGTTGGCAGACACTCGAGAAATAATCCCTATCCAAATGAAGCCCGAGCTTATAAGCCGTTTTCTGTCGAACGCAAGGGAGCAGGGACGCCTCTCCAAACAAACCCTTAGAGGTCTTTCTAATGACCTCAACTCTCAAGTAAGAAAATGTCAAATGAAATTTACCTATCCAATGATTCTAATGCAACATTGATTTTAAATTTCATGGATTTTATGGTGGCCGTTGGATCATTCCTTGATGCATGTAATAGAAGCGAGTCGAGATCCTCCAATGCTCTGCAACATAAGAGAAACTAGTAAAGCAGTGTAATCGGATTTAACACTAAATTAAGATAAAAGTACTCCATTTAGCAGTAAAAGTACTCCATTTGGCAGATAATAACTCTAATCTTGTTTGGTTATCATTTTAAAAGTGGCTCTGACAATTAGAAATGTTAGATTATGATAATTATAATTCTTTTTTTAACTTACACAATTATAATGCCTTTTAAAAATGTATTTTTTCCACAACAATTTTACTGCTACTTTTACAAATAGCGGCAAAAACCCCATACAAACCCTTAACTCGGGGTGAATAGATTGAATCGAGCTCGAGCAACTCTCAGCTTAAGCTTGAACTTGAACTTGATTAATTAATTAAATTTGACTCGAGCTCAAGCTTAGTTCTAAGAGTTTAAGGTGGCTCAAGAGCCGTCTTATTTATTATGAAAGAGAAAGTATATTATTAATTCAAGTTGGCGTTAGTAGAAGATAATTAATAAGAAACCACTTTATCTAAATATTTTTAATAATTTAAAGATAAACTCTAGAATCATAATATATTTTGAGTATATTTGTAATTACTTATTTTTTAAATGGACCAGCCCACGAGCTAACGAGTCTGAGCCGAGACTGGCTTGACATCAACTTGTTAGCTTATCAAGCTCAACTCACGAGCCAATAAACACGAGTCAGTTTTTGGCTCAGTTACATCCCTACCCATGACTAATACTATAACTCATGAAAAGATATACCTTAAACATCGGTCAACAGCGTCCGAAGCGACTTTGCCTTTGCCATCATCATCAGCATATTGCGCCACCTAAAATTGATAATTTATTCATCATGGAGGTGGAAAAGGGAAAATACCACACGTATACAATTATTGGTATTTTTTCCTTATTTCCTCTTCACGGAATTTGTTTTATTGCTATTTTTTCTGCTTCATGCAAAGAGGCATTTACATACATACCACCCAATTCCTGTGTATTTATATATCTAACACCTGAAGTTTACTTTTTACATTAATACAACCCAAATATTTCACATCACTTAAAATGCATCATTATTTTAATTTTTAAAAGGTGAAACACGCCTTTTTCTTGCAAATATAAGGCTGCATATGTAAAAATTGAAGTTTTGATGTTAGACAGGTAAATGAGGGGTGTAAATGAGTCGCGTCAAGCTCTAGTTACCCTCGACTTGAGCTTGAACTTGATTAATTAATCAAGTTCGAGCTAAAACTTCACTCTATGCGTTCAAGCCTGGTCATGAGCAGATTTGTTTAGCATGAAATAGGAAAAAAAAAAAAAACTTAAGCCAGTGCTATAATGAAATGATAAATAGAATGAACATTTAGGAAATAATTAATAAGAAATTATTTAATATAAAATATAAAATATCGGTTTTAAACATTTTTAATAAAGAAAATTTCTTGAATTTTGATATATTTTAAGTATATTTTTATTAATTATTTTTTAAATGAGCTGGCTCATGAGCTAACAAGCCGAGCCAGGCCTGGATTGAGCTTGGCTTGTTAGCTCAGCAAGATCAGTTCACGACCCACTTATCGAATCGAGCCTGAATCGGTTCATGAGTCGACATGGCTCACTTACACCCCCATGTAAATCCAATGGAATTGAGTGGTTTGAAGAGCATGAAATACAAACATGCCAAAATTGTGGAGAAAATTCAATATAAAAAGACAAAACAATGATACCCTGTTCATATTATGTCCATCAAAATGTAGAAATAAATGTTCTACATCTTTTTGGATTGGAACTAAAAGTGTTGTTTAAAGCTTATTTGGAGGTGTCAGAAATCCAAAATATAGATAATCATGGAATGGTTCTAAAACATCTGATAAATTATCAAACAAGTACCCAACCATAACTCTTTTGAATTGGCACAACATTTTCAGGGGAACTAGCATTTGCTTCAGCTTATGATAACTTGATTCTAGTACATTAAATTGGCTCCTAAGAATGCCATAAATTGAAAGTGAACGGTTCAACTTACCAATTCAGCCGTGGTTACTGAAGGTCAAAGCCAAGTAGCAGTCGAATCGACAAAAAAGAGATCCACGGCAGTGACGAAGCAGCCAAGTCATGCGAGTGCAAGCGATGTAGCAGCGAAGGTATAAGACGGCAAAGTGATAAAGCAACAAGTTTGGCTAGCTTTTGTAAATATAAATTTTTAGTTTGAGCAACTTACCCTCAATTAATCTCGCAGCAGCATTAAATTAAAAGAAAATTTTAATTTAGTATTAATTTGGATCCATTTTTAATAGTATGGGACTAATATGGAGCATTTTAAAACTCTTGAAGTTGAAATTCAGGGGATTATATTTTGGGCTTTTGATCGATAAGTAGTACTTGAAGGATAAAGTTAATGTCAAACATAATTGGTTTGGTTTTCAGGAATTGTGCTCTCGGAAGGCATGTTTGCCACACATTGAGAAGTAACACTTTCAGTAACAATAAAAGGTCTCTGGACTTACAGCTCTAATATTTACACGAAGAGATGCGGCTGGACCAGAGCGCAGTAATGACCGGCTTTGATCATATTTTGGTTGCCCAACATCCAATGAATCCTCTGTATCAAAATATGCCACAATAAGATAAATTTGAACAAAATATCAGGTTCAACGTTGGTTACAATAGAGGAAAGCATCCAAAGTCGACAAAACTCACTAGCAGTAACAACAGCACTAAACAGACCAACAATAAGATGGCATGAAATATTTTTGCAGAAAATATTCAAGTATAAGAATTGTGATCAATATTACTTTTCTTGTGTTTTTAAGCTCTTCAACATAATTTATAACGAACGATCAAAAGCAAAGAACCTTAGAATATTGAAGAGCTTCTGCTCATTCTTTATCAACTACTTCGAAGAATTTTCGTTAATCCTTAAAAAAAAAAACTCTCCGCTTAAAGTCATTCAGCAAATTTTTCTTTAAAATTGTTTGAGATATACTCATAGGTAGATGAGCTTTTTGTTTAGTGTGGAGTATGTTTGCATAGCAATCGCAATCTACATAAAGCCAGCAACAGTACATCTAAAGGCCTAAGGGGGCGCCTCGGCATCTAGATCAAGAGAGAGTGGTACCCAGTCGCCCACTTTGGGTATCCTCGGGCTAGGATTCAGTGAGGACGACACCCAAGCGCCTGCTTCGGGTGCCTTCACGCCTGGAGCTAGAGAAGACAGTGCCCAGGCGACCATTTTGGGGTGCAGCAACGCCCGAATTAGTGACTTCAACCCGAGCAAGCGGAGAAGCAATGCCTAGGAATAGTGCTTTGGCTCTATGAACAGTTTGTAAATCGTTCTCAGGTTTTTCCAAGTTAAATCTTTTTGTGTTTTTCTTTTGAATTTTTTAATTGTGCTATTCTACAAATATTTGGGTATATCACACTTCTGAAAATTTATTCATTTACAGTTATAGCAAACGCACTATAAAAAAGACTCACAATGTCATGTATAAGAAGTGGATCTCCACACTTATCCGCAACAACACTGATGTAAGTAAGGAATTCAAAGAAATATAAGAAAAAATACATCGATGTATGTATTGCAGGAAAAAAAAGAGACTTTGCAAGATGTACAAAGTACACTGGAAGCAATGAAAGTACGAAGTCAGATGTAAAGAGTAATGTACTGAAAAATTATTGACAAAGAATTATTAAATGCACACCTACTCAGCAGGACTAACAAAGAGCAGATTCTGACTCATCAACAAAAAATATTCTCTTTTATGGTTTGTGTTGATTTAAAGGCTATGGTTTTACTTATATCTAAAGATCTTCTTGGTTGTATAGAGAGTAAATTATTATTTTCTAAACATGTTAATCATGGATATCTCTGGCTACCTAAATTTTTATCTTCATCAAAATCGAGAAGTAAATTAGAAGAGGGTGGTGTGATTTCTAATTCATTTATTTATTCTGGCTGTATAGTTTGTCCTATATGTGAGAAAAGTGGGTCCAAGTGGATTGGGTCAGTATGAGGTTTAAATGCTACAGTATTATGTTGATTGCTATAAGCATATGCAGTTTGATATGTGATGTTGTATATAACGCTTCCTTCTCTTAATTGTACTATGTCTAGTTTATGTTTTAAAGTTAGAGATCTATCTAGGTGTTTATCGTTAATATTGACCGCATAATTCGGGTGTAAATTAAACATTAAAGTTTGATAACATAAATTTCCTTGAATAACTCCTAAAGTGCGTCTTTTTTAGAGTGTATAATTCTATAAATAGTGATTGAGCTATCAATACCCTTTCTAAAATAGACTTTAATTATAATTTGAATTCCACCAAAAAATACATGTTTATATTTTTCTAGATTTTTTTTTATTTCTAAGTCTTGTCTTTTTATCTATTGATTGTATAAGGGTATTTTGGTTCTTCCTTCAGCATTTATTATGTCTATTGGATGTTCGGATGTTCTTCTTGTCTAATGCTATAATGTATAGATCTCTTTCATAAGAATATAGACATATCAAAACAATCTTTTGTTAGAGATAATTTTCTTTTTCTTATTTTATTAAATGCTTTTTTAGAGAGTGTAATATGTCTTTCAAATTCTAATGAGTTGTCATTAATTATATCAGTTTCGAAGCTTTCTTCAATTAATCAGAATATAAGTATTCTTCTATTTCGTTATCAAAATAACTTATATTTATTAAATTATCTTCAGTTTCTGATAATTGGTACTATTTCATCTTCACTTTCAATATCAGAAAAATTTAAGATAGGTTCTAGGTTATTTTCTTCGATGATAGCTACTGATTTTATATGACTTATTTTACTTTTTTAGAGACATTAATTAGTGTAATGTTCACCTTCTTTGCAGATCCAACATCTTATTTTGTTAATATTTTTATTATTATTCTTTTTTCTGAAAGTTCTTTTATTTGGATTGAAATGTTTCTTTTGTATTTTTTTTAAAAAAATATTCTTTTTATTTTTTGCAGAACAACTGCATTTGCTATGAGAGGAGGAACAACTCCACTGTTGGGGGAAGTCAGCTTTCTCACAACGCAATGATTGTTTATATTATTTATTTTGCTTATGTAATTCTATATGCTGACAAGCTTCAAAAAGCTTTTTTGAAGCAAAATGAACTCGACTTCCTAAAGATAGATCATTTTCATGTTTTGTTGTAAATTCTTGATTCCATATAAAATTGTAAGGTTCTGATAATTTGTGAAAATACATATCAAAATATAATTGTTGTTAGTCATCTAAAATATCATAAAAATATTTAATAATTCATTCGTTTGAATTTCCTAAAGGAGGTCTTATATGAAAAATTTGTTCTTTTTGAAATACTTCTAAATGCTTATTTTTTATGTTTATTTGGAGTACTTCACAGATTCTATTAAATTCTTGTTCGAGGCAATTTTTATTCAACATCGAGATTTTCTTCTATTCTTGCTTTAAGTTATTCTATAAGTAATCGTCTTTTTAATTCTTTTTCTTATTTGCAGTTCATAAGAACTAATAAAAGATTCATATGACCAGACAGACGTACAAAGACAATTAGAACGCCTAAGACATTCATATGTATTATTCTCTAATTCATTTAACTCTGATACCATTTTTTGTGAACTTGAAGTTTCTCCAATTTTTATTGACTTTCGTTTTGGAATATTTTCTATTTTTAAATTATTCTTTAGTATATATAATATCTCTTCAATGTCATCAATCTTTCTATTATTTCTCATTTTATTTTTCTTTAATTGTCTAAATTTTAAATCAAAAATTTTAAAATCTCTTTCCATTTTTTAATGATTTTTCCATTTTTTAATGATTTCCTCCTGCTTCTCTGTCTATCGTCTAAAATAAATAATATAGGTCCAACACGCTTCCTATTAAAACTTTATCTTAACATTATATAATGTTTTTTCTTTTCTTCTATGATTTGACCCTAACGTTTTCGATCATGTCATACTCTTCCCTGTGGATTTCTAGAGAAGATAAAGGCTCAACAAGGTCACTTAGATCTTACAAACCACAACCTTATATGACTACGTCAAAAAAACAAAGCACGACATTAGTTCATTTCCTATTCTATTCGTAGATAGAAGAAGAGAAACAAAATAATATAGCACTAACACATCCAGATAATAATATCGTAGCAAAAATACATTATATTATTCATAAAAAACACAGAAAAATGCAAGCCAGGAATTTTTTTTCTTTAACTAGTAAAGTGGATTAGTGTTTTTATTAATTAGAGCGTTCGTGAGTTGTATAGCATATATACATATAAATTATGTACATATTATAGTTATTTAATTAATCAAACTAAAATCACATTATTATATTATTATTAACAAATAAAAATTCAATGATAATAACTTACAACTGTTCAACCTAGCAATGAAATTTGAACCAAAATTTTGCTTTAAGCGGGAGCCAAGCACGTGACACTAAGAAGTGACGAAGGAATGCAACATATGCTTCTTAATGATGATGAGCGGGCTTTTCTAACCAAGCTAAAAAATTTCCAACTCAACAATAAAGAACAATTTACCCGCATCTCTGTTTAGTTTTCTCTTTGGCCCATCCAAATTTACTCTCTCTCTCTCTCACACACAAACGCACACACACAATTAAGGGTTGAATATGAGAGAAAACCAAGCAATTCAAAGGCAGTTTTAAAAAATTAAAGGAGAAGAAGGGTGCATCATCAAATTGGCATCAAGAACAATCCTTTTTTATATTGATTTGGTGTCAAACGCAAGATTTTTAACAGTAATTATCTACAGCTTAACTACCCATAACCAACTCTTCACAACCATGGCATGTAAATCAAAGAAAATTGACCTTTGTAAAAATTAGGGCTCTAATCGAGTCATGTCAAACCGAGTATGACGTGGATTACAAGCGTTCACATGTATTTTTATACCTGAATTGTTTAAAGTTTTTAATAATCGTACTTGATTTGTACTTGACTTGTTTATATTAATTGAATGAGTGTTTCAAATTATTAATTAACAAGCTAAAAATTCAAATAAGTTTAACTTTTCATAAAAAAGTATAAACAAAAGATTTTATAAATCTAAACAAACAAACAATAAAATAAATTTTTAATCAGTATATAACTAATTTTTAATTAAATTAAATAAGAATAATATATAAGTTCATGCAATCAAATAACATAAGTAAGCAATAATAAATTAATTCATTAAAATAAAGAAATAAGAAATAATTTCATTAATTTGATTTTCATATTCACAAATGACAAATAACTTATTTTGAAAAAAACAAATAAAGCCTTAAAAACTATAAATATTTAACTTGATAAGAAGCATTTTATGTAAAACAAACGAGTTAAAATTGTGAAAGGGAAAAATACAGATAGAAACTGATGAGTGTTGAGTAAAATATGTTCCATAGAATGACAAATATTAAAGAGATAAGATATTATAAATTTTATATGATTAAAATTTTATAAATAGATATTATATATTTATATATTGACAATTAATTAACATTTAAAAGTATGATGGATTGAATATGATGAATAACAATGTGTTATAAATATAATGGGCTAATTAATAAATAGATATTACTAAAATAAATATTAAATTTATAATTAATTGTAAAATATTACTAATATTAATTAATTATATATTACTATTAAATTTAAATAATTAAATAAATTTTACTTCATCAAAATTTATTTAAATAATATATCATATATGATATGAGCTATCATTAAACTTAACAACGAACATTTAATAAATTACTCATTGAAAAACAAACAAGTTTGTTCATGAATATAAATAATGAGTTGGATCGTGTTTATATTTGATTTATTTAACCTCTGATTAAAAAAAAAATCAAACTTCTTTATTTACTAATTTGAACGAATTTGATCGAGTATTAATCGAATCGAGTTCAAGTTATTCATTAAATGCATTGGTTCATTTACAACTCTACATATGATGCATAAATTTTGTTAGACCATATACCATAAACTCAAAAACAATCATGTAGAGTGACATAAATCTCCTTATTCATTTTGGAATCCATGTTATGAATTTATTAACATATTTCATCAAGGTCACAAGCATCTAAGAACATAACATTATCATGGATATAATGTATACATTACTGAGTTATATGCTCCACTTTATTATAAACGTTGTGCATCATTTATTACACTAAGGGTTATCAATATAAGTACTTCTTATGTTGATTAATCAAACAATTATTAAAAGTACAAGATGACTCGACTAAGGAAACATACAACTTATCATGCATATGACTATCATGCACTGAATCATATTACAAACCTGAACATCATTCTAATCACCATCATGTCTCATATGAATTATAAATGACCTTCAAGGTATACCAATATTAACGCATTTAATTGCTATCAATATTTATATCACAATCAAGTGTCTCATAAAAATATGAATGTTATTAATATAGATCGAATGATAATTATGCACACGAATGCCTCTTTGCATACCAATACAAAATAAATATCATAGCGATAGATTATATTATATGTCATTTTTTTAAACACCTAATGATCAAGATTGATTATCTAGAAGTTAAGAAATTTGTCTCCATAATAAAAAAATTATTTAGTCTATAAAAACTAATATTATGATGAGAAAATTTCTATTGATGAACTTGAACAATAATCAGTAATTGAATATCTTGCTAAGCCTAAACTTAAGGTTATGCTCAATATTATTCTAGAGCCTAAACAAACATCTCACTTATGATAATTGTCGAGACTCAATATCTTCATCATTCATTAAGATCAAGACACATGTTCATCAGGCTAATAAATGTATTCAAATATTATTGTAAGATTCTTCTCTAGATATGCAAATTAGCCTAAAAATTCAAAATTGTTTGCATCCTTGCCAAAAGCATAGATTAAGATCATGTTATCATTTTTAACACCAGAATATGACTATAAAATCTTCTATATTATTATTTTAAGAGAAATTTTTAATGCATGGCAATATCTTAATAATAAAAATCTCTAGATTTTACACCTTGTTTTTAGTCTATGTCAGTTGATTATATAAAACATGCTCATGAACTAGTTCCACTGCCATGTCCATCATAAGAACTAAGGTTCCAAAGAAAATCTACATAACTCTTCAAAAGAAGAGCACAAAGTTTAGGATTTTACTTTATTTTATTTTATCTCATGCCAGGATTGTCTTCAAATTTAAATTAAATGCAAGATTTAGGGCTTATCAAAATTTAAATTTTGACTTTAATTTGGACAACCTACAAATAGTTTCAATGAATAGTATTAAAATTATTATTGAATAACAAATGAAATGTTAGAAAAAAAAATCTTTCCATTTTTTTTTTCTCACCATCCATCAGATTTCTGCCTTTGTACCCAATCTCTCTCTCTCTTTCTCTCTCTCTCTCTCCCCACTTCTTACAATTACTTTTTCTAGCCAAATTTTCAACTAGTAATATTTTCTTCTCAAGTTCCAAATATATGTGACTTAATACACCTTCTAAGTATAACTTTCTCCTTCATCCATCCTAATAATCTCTCTCTTAATTAAAGCTTGAAATCAATGAGAATGCAGGTAATTCAAAATAGCTTGAAGGAAGTAGAAAATAAAACAAGGTGATCATCAACAATAGTCTATCATTAAATTAGTATCAAGACCAAGCCTTTTCTGCATCAATTGGTCTATTTAAATACAACAACTAGGAGTATCTTTTCCGTCTTGATATTCTTCTATTTTCATACTTCTCACTTTTATCCATCAAACTTTCTAATAATCGTCTGATGAGGACTGAATAGATCTAAATCTGCTATGATGCCAAGTTGTTTGGAAAGATCAACAAGTACTAATTATAATTTTATTAGTCTCCCTGTAAAATACCTTATTGGCTGATGAAATTCTTCATTTAGTTTAGTATTATATGGTTTCTGCCCATATGTTTTGCTAGATCTTAATATAGCAATGGTAGGGATCAAACCAATAGGTAAGATAATAATGTTCTGATACTACTTGATTAGAAATTTAAATGAAATGTTATGACAAGCCATCTCATTATATGAACCTTCTTTTAATATAAATGTTCACGGGTGAAATAGGCAAAGATGATGGTCTGATATTCTTCTTTAAAATTATATTAACATTTTTTTATGAATAAGTTATTTATTTGGCCAACGTTAGTTTTATCTAAGATAGAGAATGACTATGATAAAATCTCTGAAAGGGAAATTTTAAGGCAATGATGTAAATCTAAGAAGAATGAGTTTCAATAGAATAACTGAAATAATAAACTGATAAGAATATTAAACTTGGCGAAATGGTGAAAAGATCTTGAAACTTTAATTCTTACTTCTCCTTGTTTGTATGGACGGGGCTTCCTTCTTGCATTTCACATGCTTTTATTATAATTATAGAGATAAAGTTACTCTTAACTAAATCATTTTGAAAGAGATTAGTTAGTTCTGCCTAACGAGATAGGTCATCCTATTGATTAAGAGACTTAAAATCCCCTTGGCAATGAGTAGAAGGAGAGAGGGTGGACACCCCTAGGATAAGCAAAATGGAGGTCAACCACTGGATGCTTCCTTTAAAAAGTAATACTAATTGTTAAGTTGATACAACATACAATGTGAAAGGTGATAGTGATGTTATTATGACAATACTGATCTCCCATGAGATATGGAAAGAGAGAGAGTGGTCAGCCCTTTGATGCTTCCAGAATTAGGTCATACTCCTTATTGAGGTGATAATCATTCATGTGAAAGCACTTTTTATAAGATGGCATTGATCTTAATGCTTGAAGCCTCCCTAATGGCCATATTGTTGCTTTTTTTTACCATCTTTATGCAATCTCTTCTGCGCTAAATAGTTAACCTAGAATTTATAGTCGACTCAATATTAAATCAACCTAAATTGCCTGTTAGCTGAACTATATTTAATCCAAAAGACTTAAAAAGGATAAAAGTCTATGTCATTCATGCTTTAGAAGGGGAGATGAACAGTAACTTGAACAACCCATATAGGATGACTTAGAGTTAGTTAGGCTTAAAAAAAATTTTTTGTGACACTAGATTAATATAAATAACTTTTTATTTGAATTATACACTTTAACTTTTAGACAAAGGAAAAAAGTATAATGAGGTATAGAGAATTTAAGAAAGAGAAGTGAAGGGAACGGTTTTAAATTTAGTTTTCTTAGAACTTTAGTCGGCCAACCAAGTGAGGAAGAGAAAGATAGAATAGATTGAATTATGTTGTAGGTAATTGTGATTGAGTCAAAATAAAAATAGGAGTTTGTAAAAGTTTATGTTATAAATATCAAAGTTGATAACAACTTAAGGGGAGCTTGGCCATGTAATTCTTTAATTTAAAAACAAGAGAAAATCTTTATCTCGAAGCACATAAATCATCGCCATCTTATCCTACAAAATTTGGGCATAAAATTATAAAGATAAGAGTGTGGCCAAACAATTCTTATCTCACGGAGAAGTGGCTGCAACATCCTCCCACAAAAGGAGTTTCCAGCCACATGGATTGATAGGTTTGGATTTGGTGAAATGTTACTCCTTGAAGAAGCACTACATCTTTGAAGTCATTATAGTTCCCAAGCATGCTTCTTGCATGTAGCTTGAAAAATGATTCCCTGTGGATCCCTAGAGCATAAATTAAGCCTAAAACTACATAAGATTAAGACAACATGCTAGAGCGCATCATTGATAAATACTAATAAAGGCTTATTGCACTAAGTTCCACGTCATACCTCTAATAGCTAAAGAGACCATGAATTACCAATTAATAATGAATTATTAACTTGGCAGACTTTTCTGAAATGTACAAATTGGTGCACTCCTTACTTATATAATATTTCCAGTAATTAACATTCTCATTGATATTTACCATCGTGATAGTCCTTATTAATGCTTCCATAATACAATATGTTTTTCACAGTGCATGCAAATAGTTTTTTCATCTTCTTTGTAAAGCTAAAAGAAAATTCAAAAATACTTCATTACCCAAATCTTTGAATTGTTCTTCAGTCAATAAAACGGCAGGTACATATGCCTCCAAAGGCTCAAGCTTTTTCCTGATATAAAATATGAGCATAAAGAGAATAGTTCATAAGTTATAGTAAGAAAATAATATATTCATATGGTATTTTCTGTTTATAATATACAAGTAGCTCCAAGTTACTCTTCTAGCATATAGCATTGTTGACACTTTTTCAATATCAAACTTTCACCCTTTGATAACATGTCAAAGTTGGCTAGGGATTCATATGGATCCTTTTATTTAGATAATAATTTCAAGAACTTGTCGATTTGATTTTTACTAATTTTGAATGCAAAAATTAAATCATCACTTTTTCAAAGAGTTTTAAGTTTGTGATGCTTGACATCAACATTGATATATGACAACATCTAACCAAATGATGGATAATAGTTTTTCAATGCGTGTTTCTAAACTTCAAGCTACTAAATGAAACCTGAGATAGAACTGTATGGCAGTGAATTCATTACAAAAATGCACATAACCCTAGCATAAAAGGTTGTGACTTTCAAATGCTAAATAATATTAGTATTGCAACGTTCAAGCTATTAGAAAATAGGAACTGCTGATTGTAATGAAATTTCCAAAAAAGAAGGGGTCATATGAAGTAATTTCTCATGGAAATTTGAAAATTTTGCAATTTAAGATGAGATGTCAAAGCAATGTAACATTTTCCTTGTTCTCATCAATGATTGTTTAACCCCTGGCTTGAGAATGTATTCATATGTACTTTAAAAGCACATTATATATTTATTTACACAACCTAAGCTTATCCAGCTAAGAAAGCTGCTTGTGCTGAGGAAGTTAGCAAATGCGGGTCAAATATCTGCTCAGTTTTAAAGGGATTTAATCCACGCAAGCTTCACCTAAAAGAAAAAAATAACAAACATTTTCCTCCAATACAAATTAAATATTTTGCAAAAGAAAACATAAGGAAAACAAAATATTCAATTTTTAGTCAATTATGACAATGTAAAAGAAAGAAATTCTTCGTTTTGTATTCTCTAGATAACAATTTTATTTCAATAATAATGCTAATCTTATAAAAAAAAATCTAAAAAATACAGTATATTGGTTTTTTTAATTGAATAATGTAAAGTTTTTGGCTTTTCTTTTTGTCTTTACTTATTTTAGTCATCAGATAGTCTCACCTCAATGTCATTAAATTTAACAAAAAACTAGCTACCATAAAGTATAATTTAACTTCCATTTTACGATATTATTATATAAAAATTACACATTCAAATAGCTTACAGCTAATAACAACATAATATGACATAACAGATGTATATGAATCAAAAATTTACTGAAAAGAGGTTAAATTCATCAGATAGGCAGAAATTGTGCGCACCTCTTTACATACTTATCAAAGGGGCTGCCTGCAGCTGCACCTGCAAGAAGTGGAAAGCCAATACAGTATGTCAGTATATCTCCAAGAAATTAAAAGACTGTCTTTCGATTACAGCGATTTAAATGAAAAATAATTAAAAAAAACAATGGTTGGAGATTCATAATCAACTCCCAAATTGTTGAGATTTCATCTCATTTGCTTCACTTGACTTGAATTCAAAGTAAGGAGGAGAGATAAAGTACGTTTAGGGTAAACGGAAAGACAGTGAAGGAGAAGGAAGGCTAGAGAGGCGGAACGTCGGCCGACAAACAGTGGCTTCCGGCGGGTAGACGGCCAGGAATGTGGGGATGACGAGCAGATCACTACAAGAAGGCAATGCCTTTGTCTTAAGCTGATATTATGAGCGGAATAGAGGCGGAGGTTTGCGCCATGGGAGACACCGCGCGCGCACAGAAGGGCTGAAGCCATGCGAGCCACCAGTTTCGACGCCAAAGTCTAGACTCGAGAATGAATTATCCACCTGGTTTGGCCCAAAAATCATGGAGCTGAGTGGTGCATTTACATACATTCCACACAATTTATATATATTTACATATCTACTCCTTAAACTTTGGTATTTGTAAGCCTAACATTTAAATTTTAAACATCACATCAAATGCATCATTATTGTTAACATTTAAGAAGTGATATATTTTTTGTATTGTTTTATGATACCAAAGTGTTTAAGAATATAAAAGAGTGTAATTTGAGAGAGTATAAGTGAATTTAATTTAACTCATTAATAAGTGAGCCAAAAATTTGACTTTTTACTCAACATTAACTTTTGATTTTGTACTCAACTCAATAACTTATTACAACAAATACAAGTTCATGAACAAAAAAATTTACTTTCATATATGAATTATAAAACTTACGTGTTATGAAGTGTGTGTGTGTGTGTGTGTGTGTGTGTGTGTGTATTTGTATATAAATATTAATTGTTTTTATATCTGCATACTTTTTTTATTAATAAATATGATCAAACTATTATAGGGTCAAACACATTCAAATATGTCATTGTTCAAGTTTGGCTCGGTAAAATATGAGATTATAAAAATTAGTTGAGCTCAATCTTATTACAATTGAACAATACTAATGAGCCTTTTTGGCAGCTATTTCCTTTGCCTTTTTTTTTCCTTTTTTTAGATTTTTTTTAATTACATTTATTCACTTTCTTTCTTTCTTTTTCATCTTTTGCATTAACAAATAATCACTTATTTCATTTCATTTCTCCCAATTGATTTCACTTTTAATTTTCCAGATCTATTTGATATGATTACACGTATCTAAAGAAACCCATTGCTATTTATGTTAATGAGAAATTTAAGCATCAACAATTATAAACTCATTTCCTATGATCTTACATATTAACATAGCCCGAAAGCTCTGTTTTTTCCTCCTTGATATGGTGATGGATAATTAACGTTACTTTCTAGCATGGTAATACATTGATAATTAAGCTTATAATAAATTTATCATCAATTTTTTTAGTATAGATTGCATCAGCATTTAATATATATAGCTTAGTAGAAATTAATTTCTCAAGTTTTTAAACTTTTTATATCATTTCTTCTCAATCAATTTGGTGATAGCTTATTGCTCCACTTTAATTCAATTTAACACTCATTATCTAACCTACAATATTAAAGTCATAGAATATGTTTTTAAAATTTTGAGAATTTCTTATATATTATTAAACATAACGTGCTTCAATCTCACAGTTCTAAAGGATAAAGATATTTCTTACCCTATTTTATTTACCTTATGAAGTTTATTTGTGTTATAGATGGCTAATCATGACATCTTGAATTCTACAAAATGATCATCTAATAACGCTTTCAAAAAGTGATTTCTTAAAAAATAGATATCAACATTCATTTGTGAGAGAGTTGCATAATCAAGGTACAACTTTAGCTATCTCTCTCTCATAAAATAAAAACACCCTATTGCTCAGTGAAGAGCGGAAAACAATGTGGAAATATTTTTCATGTCCATTTGATGCATATTTTATTTTTAATTAATTAAATGGTATTTTCATTTCTTTGATTCTCCATTTCCTTTGACATTTCACAATGACATGGGACCATAGGGCTTTTGATGTTTCTGTTGTTAGACATCTCTCCTGATTTTTCTAAGAACAAGGGGCATCTCTAACTAGAGATATTCAATAAAATTAATTTGGAGTAATTATAAATGTAAATGACATGAAAATTTTTCTCCACTATAACTTAATATTAGAGAAACTCCCCATAAAAAATTCATGTCAATTGGAGTTAATTTGATCACTAAAATGACTTTTTTAGAAAAAAAATGGCATTTTGGATATTAAAATAATCATAATAATTAAAATACAATTCAAAAAATCACTAAATTGATTTTAGGAGTTCCTTATGAGCAGAAGAACCGAAGAAAAATAAAATTGGAATTAAAATATAAACTTCATTTCTAAGATATTTTTGAGTATTTAAAATGATTAAAATTAATTAAAAATCATAAAAACCGCAAAGTTGTAAAAACACACTAAAATATCACATTTGGTTTC